CCAGCCACTCCTTGGAAGGAAGGTTGGGCAATCCTACTTCCGTAGTGATACTGCCTCGGAAACCCAAGGAGGGGTCGCTATGAGTCAGGGATGACTCGGCACATAACAACAACAACAACAGCAGGCCTCAGTTTCTTCATCTGTAAAATGGAGATCATATTACCTCTCTCAAAAGGTTGTTGTGAGGATATAATCTATGTTAAGTATTTGGAAGAAGAGTCCTTGGCAGAGAGTAAGCACTCGGTAAAGATAGTTATTTAAATGACTACCTATATATATAATTTGGAATAAATTACATTTATATATAGTTCCAAATTTTGTTGCCTTGTTTGTCTGGAGATTATTTGTCTGCATTGATTCACTCATTTATTCCATAAACATGTATTGGTGCCTACTGTGTGCTGGGATAAGTGATGAGCAGGCAAATCTAGGGAGGATAACTAAATAAATGTGCACATAAAAAGTAAGAGATTTCATGGGCAGTGGTTGCTTGACCTCTTGTAGGGAGCTCTCTAACTGGTTGAATGACCTTGGGCAAATGCCTCTAACTTGGTCAAAGGCCCTTCCACAAAGACCCCCTGGTTGCATGCTGATGAGCCATCCTAGGTAATGAGGGCAAACACTGCTGTTTGGGTGATGAGGGAGCCTGGTGGAGGAGCGCTGGGCAGGCCCTCACTGCACCTCTGGCTTCCATCCTTTAACCCCATTACCCCCACCCACACACTCAGAGAATCCTTGCTTTGATTCTCCATAGTCAGGACTTGAAAGTACTTAAAAATGGTTCCACATTCCAGAGCTAAGAGGGCTTTTAGAGATCAGCTAGCCAGCCCTCCTTTAAGGAGGCACCATCATCCAGGGAGGGGAATTGACTTGCCCAGGGACACACAGCAAAATGGTGCTGAGCCCAGGCCTAGGTCTTTGCTCAGCCCACTCCTCCCAGCCCTGCCCTCTGGGCCTCCTGAGCCAAGAGTGAAATACCAGGAGGGAGGGGAAGGCACTTCCTGAGCCTGGGAACCAGCTGATGTCATTGCAGTGTCGCCATGGTGATTATTCCCCGGATTAGGGGCCTGACCCTTGTGAAGCTGGGAAGTAGAGGAAGGAGTGGGGGACTGGCATTGGCCCAGCCCTTTAATGTTGACGAAGCACTTTCACATTCCCCTTTGGCAGTGCTTACTGAGCCCCACTGTGTGCTCCGTGGTATACTTGCTGCTCTGGAGTCATTCCAAGCACCGGGGCTTGGAATGACTGGTATAATCCCCATTTTGTGGTTGTAGAAACTGAGGTTCAAGAGGTTAAGTCACTTACTGAAGATTATTCAGCAAATGGGAGACTGAGCTTATGGTAGTACAGCCCTCTCTGGCCTTGTACTCAACCTTGGTGATAGGAGGGCTCCCTGTAATTCAACTGATTGCTATGACAACCTTGTTACAGTTGAGGAATCTGAAAACCAGAAGCCTTGGATTCAGGGTTTCTGTGTCCTGACTCTGGTGCCTTCCCTTCCCCGATGACCACCTAACCCCTGCTAAGAGTCACCATACTGGCCCAGGGCTTCCAGAAAGGGCAGCACTGGACAGGTTCTTGGCCCTTGGGTGGGTGGGTGTGTTGTAGCCACTGTGTTAACTTCTAGTCTGATGGGAACCAACACATTCAGCCCTTTCAGGTCTGTAGCTCCCCCCATCCTCTTCTGGAACCTTTTAGGAAGAAGAGCCCCCTAGATGGGTGGCCTGTGGGTCCTGGGAGGATGCAGAGAGTAACTGGCAGGTGTGGCCTTGGCTGCCTATGTGTGAGGTCAGGGGTGCAGCTCAGCATGGCAGCTGGTTGACTGCATGCCCGGGAGCCACCTGGGCTTGTCATCCTGGAAACTCCCAAGGGCCTGGGCCTCATGTCCTGGGCTGACCTGCCTTCAGGACAGTGCATCCCCCATGGAGGAAATCCAGGCAGCTGGTGGAGTCTGGAACAGCTGGCTGCAGAGGTGGACAGTGAAGTCTCTGGAAGCCAAGAAACAGTTCCCTGTCCCATGGGCATCTCCCTGCCTCCATTTGTTTTTCACAACCCCCCGGAGGAGGACAAGCTGTTCCTCACATTTAAATGCCTTTACTATCAGGGAAGTGTTTTCTGATGTCTGCCTTGAGTTCCTCTAGCACTTGGGTTTTCCATGAAATTCTCAGAAGAGGAGGGCAGCGGATGACGTAGTTGATTCTTCCTTGGAGCTTAGAAACCTGTTCTGAAGTGCTGTCTGTCCCCCACCAGCTTTCTCCTCTTCTGTGGTGGTGGCCTCAGAAGCCAGCCTGTTAGGCTCCAGAAAGCCGCCGCTGCCTGTCAAAGGCTCATTGATCGAGCCTTTCCTGTGGCTGTCTCCGCGCCCTCCTTTCTGGATGCCAACTTTGTCCTTTGGAACAGTCTTCACTCAGCTGGCCTCTCAAAAACTGCTCCGGGCTCCCAGTGGGTAGGGCCCCATCCCGGCTTTGGTGAGGACTGGGCAGTCCTGGGAGCTCTCGAAAGAGCCTTCCTGTAGCTTTCAGACAGGCAGGATGGGCCCGTGATGAAGGGTCAGAGCCCAGCCAAGGAGCATTTGCATCCCGGTGGCTCTGGGCGTTTGCTGCTAAGCTGTGTGGTCTTGAACAGGGGACTTTGCCTTTCTGTGCCTCAGTTTCCCAGTCTGTAAAATGAGGCTGATAACAGTCTATACTGAGAGTTAAATGAGATAATTCATTTAAGGCACTTGGCACTGTGCCTGCCAATCGAATGCTTTTAATAAATATTTGTTACTGTTAGCTGCCATCGAACCAGTCCCCAGCTCCTGGCGACCCCACACACAGTTGAATGAAACGCTGCCTGGTCTTGTGCCATCCTCAGGATCGGCTGCAAATGGCACCATTGTGATCCCTAGGGTGGTTTTTGGAAGTAGATGTCATCTTGGTCTGGAAGCTCTGCTTGAACCTATTCAGCATCATAACAACATGCAGGCCTCCATGGGTGGTGGCTGCTCATGAGATGCATTGGCTGGAATTGAAACCGGGTCTCCTGGATGGAAGGCGAGAGTTCTACCATGGAACCACTGCCCAATCAACAAATATCAGCAGGCTATTATTATTAATCTAACGCTTTTTGGCTGAGGCTTCTGCTTTGAGTTGAGGGGTAGATGTTACTGCAGTGGGGATTTCTGGTTAGAATCTTGCTCCTGGCATCCTGCCTCTGTTTCTTGGCTGGTTGGTGCCTCAGAAGTGGCCATAGACTGAGGTCACTGGCCTGACACCAGTCCCTCTTCCCTCCTTGGGTCCACCAGGTGCGCTACAAGGAAGAGTTTGAGAAGAACAAGGGCAAAGGCTTCAGCGTGGTGGCAGACACACCCGAACTCCAGAGAATTAAGAAGACCCAGGACCAGATCAGTAATGTAAGTTCCCTACCCCTAAGGTATCTGCACTGGCCCACTCCCTGCCCTGCTCTTCTCCTCCCTGCCAGCCTGGCAGATGTGAATGGGGCCAGCTCTCTTTGCTGCCTCTGCCCTCTTGGGTGGGCCTGGCTGACCACTGTTTGAACAGAAGACAGGCAAGGGTTTGGGGTTTGTGATCCATAGGGTTTTCGTTGACACCTTTTCTCTGTGTGCCACCAGACTCCCTCTCACTGCCCCCCTCAGCCCACAGAGTATGTCCTCTTTGAAGAAGCTAGATTTTTGTGCAGGTGTGTGTGGGGGCTCTGTGTGCTAAATCACCCCCACTGTCACGGGTTTCTTTTTTTCTCGTTATAGTAGGTGTCAGAGTGCACGCTGGATGTTTCCTCTTAGCACAAAGGTCAAAACTGGGTGTGGGGGCGGGGAGGGGGCCAGCCGCCTCCTTTCTGTTCTGGGTGCTGACATTGCAGTCATTTCCGCCCTCCCTCAGCCTCCTCCCCCACCTTGGCTTGCTCTTCCTTCCTGTGTAAAAACCCCAGCCTGTATTGCCCTCTGCCCCTCATCCACTGGCCTGGGCCCTCCTGGGCCTGGGATGGTTGGCAGGGCCTGGCCACAGCTGAGGTGGAAGTGGAGAGTGGGTGTTGTGTCGACAGGCCCCAGCATCCTGAACCGTCTGTGAGACCTGTGACCAGAGAGCAGGCCTCAGTTTCCTTCTTGGCAGAGCCACAGACCAGCAGCCTGTGTGGCCTTGGGCTTGTAGGAGCAGGGTACTGCTTTAAGCAGAAAACAGAGGGCAATGCCCCATGCACAGGCTCTAGGGGCAGAGCAGCAGGGAGTGTCAAACCAGCCTGGTTCAGAGGCCCTCCACAGTGACAGACTGGGCTAGTATTTGTCTTCATGTCTGTAATAGGAGGGGGATTGGCAAGTTGCCCAGTATCACTTGAAGCTGGGGATGGAGGCTGGAGGAGGGCCCTAGGCTTCACTTAGCCCCCCACATCCCTCTCTACCTCTCTGCCAAGCCTTCTTGGTAAGATGCTTCTTCTAGAGAGTGGCTGGGCCATGCTTACAGTGGAGTTCAAGCACTGGGTCAGGTAGATAGATTCTGAAGCTCAGAGTAGCCAGACAGACAGCAGACCAGCCATGCCTCCAGCTGTGACTTTCAAACTTTACTTGACCACAGCCTACAGTAACACATACATTTGACTTTGACCTTCCAAACAGGCATGTGTTTATTTGGAGAGAAAACAGAATCAGAAGTTTCACAAAGGAGTACTTACTGCATGGAGGGTGTTCAGATATTTTCTGTTCTATTTTATTTTAAAGATGCTGGTTTGCAGAGCCACTAAATGAATTTCGCAACTCAGTGGTTGACCTGCAATCTGAGGAAGTGGAGTGTTCCCTTGGGTTAGGAGGGCGCGCTTCGGAGGGCTCTTATTCCCCTTCCCCCAGAAAAGCCTGTTGCAGTCGCCTCTTTGCAAAGCAGGTCCTAGTAAGGGCCTGGCCCCACACCCTAAACCTCCCCTTCCAGGGTAAAGAACTCTGAGTCAACACGGAAGGGAGGGTTTTGTTGTTGCTAGCTGCTGTCAAGTCATCAGTTCTGACTCCCGGCCACACTGTGTGTTCAGAGGTTTTCAAGGCTGTGCCTTTTTGGAAGCAACAGACCTGTTTTCTGAGGTGCCTCAGGGGGGTTTGAACTGCCAACCCTTTGGTTAATAGTCAGCACCCAGGGGCTCCCAGGAAGGACTCCTAGGAAAGGGGTAGTAGCCTTGGGTAATGGGGAAAACCTGGAATGGCTCAGAAAGCTGGAATCTGGACTTTTTTCCTGCTTAAGACTCTTATCTTTTATCACTGGCATTTGTCCCAGGCCTGCAGGGTGGCAGCTCCCATCCTCCAACATGCTCATTTATGCTTCCAGCCTGTGGGTTTTCAGACTTGAGGGATGGAGGGTTGGAGTGACAAGGAAACCCGGTCAGCTCTGCCTCCATTTCTGGACAGCTTCCAGAAAACTCCATACCCAGCTTATTCCACCTGCTCTTTTCCCCGCTTCCCCCTAGTTATTGGAAGTGTTAAATATCTGAGAGCTCTGGTAACAGAACTGGTGTGGCCAAGACATCCACCCTGGGGAGATAACCATCTTATCGTTAACCACAAGGCTGCATTTAGCTGATTGTCCTACTCTGCTCTGAAGTGGGGAGGTGACTTGAACCTGACCTAGGAGCTGCTTTGCAGCTGTATCTGGGCCCTATGAGGTATGACCCTGACCACAAGGTTGGAAGACTTGGTTTTACTGAATGCAGTTAAATTCTTTCAAGGACAGACCTCCAAACAATGATCAGAATGGTTGAAAATGCAGATTCACAGATCCCCTCCCCTAGGCTGCCTGAGTTAGCATCTCTGGGAGGGGAGCCCAGGAACCAGCATTTAAAACCCACTTCCTGGGTCACGATGGTGCTCCCTGAAGTCCAAAAATGCTTCGCCAATCCTTGTGTCAGTGCCAGACGGAGCCATGTCCCAGAACCCCCAGAGAACTTTAAGCTATGATTAGAACGATTGCTAAGTTGTTCCAGCTTCCAGAAGAGTTTTGGAAAAGATGGTGTTAAGAGCCACACCTATTATTTTGGATCCAAAATAGTGTTTCTGTCTATAGCTCATCACTCACTTCCCAGATTGGCACCAGATAACTCCGAGCTGTTTCCAAAGGTCAGACCATCTTGCAAAGAGAGAGATTTTTTTTTTTTCCCTGCAGACAAACCTCTGCAGACCAGAGGTTTTAGCAGTGAGAGCATTAAAAAAGCAAGTATCTGGTCTTCCTAGGTGGTGTGTACTTTGGATGTGTGTGTGGTATGTTGTCAGTCCTGCTAAGAGGCAAGATGGTGAGGTGGGAAGTGACTCCATGACTCCACCACCTTCTGTCACTCAACTGCTGGGCAGGTCTCCCTGAGCCTCAGTTTCTCCAGCTAAAATGGGGATAATAGGCTCTGCCTTGAAAGCTGGTTGCAAGGAAAATGTCAAGGGCTTGTCATTTGAAAAATGTTGTCATGTAATTATTACTTTAAAGGCAGATCTGTCTGCTTTCTACAGCATGACTAAAGAAGGGATATGGAGGAAAGTTTGGCCATTGTCTATACAGAAAATGTGGAAAATTTTGAGGAAAGATGCTAGTAAGTTATATACATGTGTAGTAAGTCATTGTACCTTCATTAAACCCACTGCCATGAAGTCGATTCTAACTCATAGCTACCCTTTAGGACAGAGTAGAACTGCCCCATAGGGTTTCCAAGCCTGTCATCTTTATGGAAGCAGACACATCTTTTTCCCGTAGAGCAAGGAGTTTGAAACACTGACCTTTTGGTTAGCAACCGAGTGCTTAACCACTGCACCACTAGGGCTTCTTTGTATCTTCATTAAAGGCATCTTAAAGAGTCGAGAGGCTTATGCCAAAGCTATGGGATACAAGTTTATACACTGGGAATTCTGGTCTTTGATCATGAGTTCTGATGGCTTAAATGGATGGGAAACTTGAGTTGCTAAAAAAAATCAAACCAAACTCACTGCTGTCGAGTTGGTTCCGACTCACAGTGACCCCCATTGGAGGTTTTTCTCACTGCAAAACAAACACTAGTTTCGCTTTTTGCCTTTTCTGGTAAAAGCGAAAAATCCTCTTCGGATTTCTTTAGATGAGCAAGAACAGGTACTAATGTAGGTGGATCTTTCGTAAAAACAAGGTAGCGTAAAGTGAACTTCCAAAAAGCGGGAGATACCTGTATTTAACCATACTGAAAAACTGTAACACTCACGTAGTAAGCACTTATCATATATTTAACTTAATAATGAGGGAACCAGCTGGAGAATGAGAGGCAGAGGTCCATGCTTAGTTAGTGAAACAAAGTTCTGGATACAATTAGATACAGACTGGTTAATGTCCTACAGGGCAGTGAAACCATAAACTCTGAAGAGATCTTTTCTACAGGCAGAAATTAGTTATATCTCTATCAGTCAAAAATAATTAGTAGCTTACATTCTATAAGTTCAGTCCCTGGGTTGTGCAAGTGGTTAATGTGCTGGGCCCCTAACCAAGAGATTGGCAGTTCAGGGCCACCAGAGGCACCTTGGAAGGAAGGCCTGGTGACCCACGTCTGCAAATTCAGGAACTGCAGACTCTGTGGAGTACAATTTACTCTGACACACATGGGATCTCCATGAGTCGGAATTGACTCAGCAGTAACCATTTTTTAATTCTACATATCAGATTCTGTCTTCAGTCTGGCCTGTTGTTGTTGTTGTTGTTATGTGCCGTCGAGCCAGCCCTGACTCATAGCGACCCCTCCTTGGGTTTCCGAGGCAGTATCACTACGGAAGTAGG